GTGGCCATTTTATTTCTCTGATGATTTTATGCATTCCTATTCTATTGTCAGTTACCACCCATCATTGCCTATCATTAGCTGAGGAAAAGGTACCATTTAGGATGCAACATGAGGAAGCTGTTTGGATTATTGATGCATAAAACACATCTACCCTCTTTACTTAGTTCTTTAGCATATGAATGTACTTTATTGTAGTTCAGTCTAATAGCTTCTAACTTTGGATCCTTAGGCCAAACCCATTCATATAATTTAGATAGAGTAGGGAATGTATCTATGGACAGAAATTATGTCTTTCTTCTTAAGGCCAATGGAGAACTCATGTAATAAAGAAATACACATGATTTGATTTTATACTCAATCCATTAAAACTCCTATAAAAAGCTTATCTCTACCATACTTTGGAAGCTCTGTAAAGTTTCACTTATATTATTTAAATGCTACCTTTATGTCTTGTTTTGTCAATTATGCTGCTAAGGGACAGGATTGGGATAGTCACACTGAGATTTTGTGGAGATAGCAACAGTTAAATGTGTATGTAATATCTCATATTTTCTCAGAAAACACAATTTTACTTTCTGAGTCATTTAAGAAATTACTTCAATTCTTCTATTTACCTTTTCTAATAAATATTGAATTAAAATATATCTTAAAGGAGGATTCTACCTAAACTTAAAACTAAATGGACAATACTGTAATGAAAGCCCTGGTAATTTAGAAATTTGATATTTCTTCACGGAATATAGTTGTATCCTTAAGAGATTTAAATATAGTTATAATTTAAGAGCATATAAACATATGGAAGACTAATTATAATCAATTTGCAGTAAACTTGAGTATTTACTGAAATGCTGGGTAAAATAATTTCAGTACAAAAGATCGAAAGAAATTGCCTCAAATGTATGGAATTGGAAGCAGTGCCATTTTATGATACAACTTAAAACTTTGGGGATGTTTGTGACATAGTCTAGCAAATGACTTCAAAGGATTTACTGGGGATTATTTCAATTTAATCTAGAGACATTTTCTCAAAAACTGTCAACAGATTTCTGATTAAAACCTCAGTTTTCCACACCAGAAAGTCAGAGTCTTAATTCTTATAGTCTCTGAGATTTTTGGTGTCTATAGAGTAAATTATTAGGTATTTTTCATTGAAATATCTAAATTGCCCATGTGGAAAGAACATTACCTAGAAACAACACATTGCAAAAACAGGTGAGAACTGATACTGTGGTTTGGTAATCTGCATTTTCTAAAAAAGCTTTCTTGCTTATGAGAGACACTATGTACCCTCCCCCCCACACACAAACCACATATATGTACATGTACACACACTCACACTCACACTCACACACACACACACACACATACACACACACACACACCACCACCACCACCACCACAAAAAAGCAATGCATTTTCTCTGTAAAATGTATAAATAAGCTTAGTGTCCTGGGAGAGTGAGAAAGGGTTGAAGGAACCATGCCATGGGAATGAAACTCTTACAGGAACAGTCAGGGAATGCTGCCCAAAAGTGATTACTGGAAGGTGTTAGGGTTCTAGTAGTTAAGTAGGAAGAGTGTTTTGGGGGAGGGATAAAGAATTAAATGTCTGGGAAGATTAGAATAGACAAACGAAATGAAAGATGAGAATGTTCAAAGCTTGGTGCAGAAGAGTGGTGTATGCTGAGGACTTGGAAGGAGAGGGGAATTGTGCAGTATCCATGTTACTAACATACATCATTCAGAAGTGACTGGATTCAGGTTTAAAGTTAAGTGCCTCAAATACAACTGTAACATGCCCCAATTAGTGCTTGGGGAAAAAACATAGAATAAATACTGAGAACAATAGAGAAGTTCTATCTTCAGCTAAACCAATTAGCAAAGGGGATACTCATTGCAGATTCCAACTGAAACCTGGTGAATGAGGTTCTGGATTTGGGTGGTGAAGATTAGGATGCAGAAAGTTCTGAGAGATGTGCAACGGGAGAATAAGAAGATGTGGTGACATGTGGTAGAAAGGAATTCCAGGGTAAATGAAGAAATAACTGTCTCTCATACTTCCTTCTGGCCACACAGCTGGATGAATGAATGGAGGGTAGTTTTAATAATTAAATTGTATTTCCTGGGTTACATAAACAATTTCTTTTCTGTTAAAAGTAGTTTTACAAAAGGATGAAATATAAACAAGTACCTGCTTTGGGCATGTATTTAAATACGTATACATGGTTAACAAACTTATATTCTCATTAAATGTTTCATTGCATGATAGGTAGAAGACACCACTACTTCCTTGAATGAGGTGCTCTTTCTCTTGTAATTAGCTTATGTTAAAAATCAATAGTAAAATTGTTTTATGGCAAAAAGGGTATCATGTGTAGGAAAGTAATCTGACTTTAAATTAAGGACTTGGACTTAATTTGTTATAATCTTTATATCTAGGGAAGTTTAAGAAATTTGAGAGTGTTTCGTTGCATCAAGGATTAAAACCAATATGTAAAATAGTTGGCATATTACCCTTCAAGCAGTAGGCACCCAATCTTACTGCAATTACCAATTTCTACATTTGCTAATCTTGCTTAAAGATGAGCATGTTTACCTCAGAGAGATGGTCTTTTACACTTCTTGGCATTCAAATACCCAACAAAGTCTTTGCCAGTACTTGTCATGGAGTCAAAAATTTGTTGCGTATAGAAGCATGTATACTGGCACAATGAAAAGTTGGTTTTCATTGTAAAGAACAAATTATCCAAACCCTAGTAAGACTGGTCTCATCACCTTGACCTCCAATGGATGATTTAGTAAAAAAAGATGCATCCCTTGTTTCACTAGAGGGCACCAAATCATTGCCCTAAAATGAAAGCAGCAAGAAGGAGTGGAGTGGTGAAGGGGTAGGGATAGGGGTAAGGTTGGCTATAATCTCCATCAAATAGCTGTTGGTGATCTCAGGGGGTGTGTAAGAGTTTTCACCATGCTTTATTGAACAAATTTTCACAAGCATATAATTATATTCTGCATGTCTTGAAGTCTGATACGATTTAATTAAACGCAGGGGACTTTATTCTATTCAGTCTCTCAGAGGAGAAAGTGAAATAGTTTGGAAAAAGCATCATTGTACTTCACTCAGGCCACAAGGGTGCATTGCTGTGGAAGCTTTGTCTAGTTTCTACTCCCTGCAAACCTTTAATTCTTCCATAGAAATAAACTGACTATTGTCTTTGTAGCCTGCAGGACTTGTGATTCCCTGAAGGCCTTGCTCACCATTTGGGAGTGTCCTTGAAACCAGGAAAGCTAGTTTAATTTTCAATCTTCAGGTTTATGTACTGTACCTTGTGACATTTTACTTAAAACTAACTCCACTGGGGAAGAAAATTGAGGGAAATGCATTTACAATTGTTGCAGTTTGATTCTCACTCCCCAGTTCATTTCTACCCTCTGCTAATCAACTATGTGGTTAGAGGCTCCTGCGAAGAATAGAATGCTAGAGACGGATGAGACTTTTTGCTCATTATTCTATATTGTAATCCCTTCTCCCTTCTCTCTCTCTCTCTCTCTCTCTCTCTCTCTCTCTCTCTCGCTCTCTCTCTCGCTCTCTTTCTGTGTGTGTGTGTGTGTGTGTGTGTGTGTCTTTCTGAGCACTGTAGCAAGTTGGTTTTAGAAGTTTTGCAGTGCTGAATCCATGATATGACCCCCTCTATCCTTTGTGCTAATGGTTCTGTTGTTAATTAACTGCAGTTTTTCCTCCCTCCCAAAATTCTGTTTTGATATTCTGGTGTTTGGAAGATAACAATGATTATGGAGTTAAAAGGATTCTCAGAGATGAAATCATCCAACTTGTACCAACACCAAGAAACGTAGATACTAAGTCAAATATATTTTAATCAAACCCTAACCCAGTGACACCTTAAAATTATGTGCTTTGGTTTCTGTTTCTCTGTACATCCCCCACACCCTATATTTATACAAGTATCGTCTACCCATGTGTGCTTCCACTGGGTGTCTATGTCTGTATTTCTATGTCTGTCTGTCTATCTATCTATCTATCTGTCTATCTCATCATCATCTAACATGTATATCTATCTGCCTTCCATCTATGTTTTTGATTTTCTATTTAAAACCTGTTAAATGATACTCATTAAGTGGCTAGTTGATCTAAATAGTGAGGAGTACAAAATAACATTCTTTTTGAGACAAAACCCATAAGTTTAGTCACTGGTCATTATGCTTACTGACTAGGGGACAATGATTCCTGATAATTGGAAAGAATTCATGAAATAGTAGAACTATGGGTTTCATACATTCAAGTTCAACCAACCAGGAATAAGAAGGATTTGGAAAACATTTTCATCTATGGTAAACATGTATAGACTAATTTTCTTGTCATTTTTACGTAAACCATATTTACATTGCATTTGGACTGCACTGAGCTGTATAAAGAATCTAGGGATTACATAAAGCATATGAGATAGTGTTCATAGGCTATAATTAAGTGCCATACTGCTTTAACAGTTATAAATTTGGATATTTGTGAGGGCTACTAAGGCACTGCTGAGTTTTCAAAGTTTTATTGATACATCTCAGTTAAATAAAAGAACAAGTACCTTTTTAAGTAAGAGAGATGAATATAAATGTTATTGTTTGATTGTTTTAGTCTCTTGGCTGATAGAATACATGTATCAGTGTAGTTAAATTCAACGCATAAATTGTTCTGGGTTTGATTCTCAGGACTAAAAACTAAATAAATGAACACAAATAAAAGAAAAGAAGTGTTTGTAGCTGCTTATTTTCAGCAGACTACTTATCTGAAATCACAGAGCCTTGGCATTGTAGAAACTTAAACAACAGTTCTTAGACATGCTTAACTGACTAAGGAACACTTGGTCTCATGTCTCTGGCCTGACTCCCTCTAACTAGGCCCTTCCGTCTGAATTCCTTCAGTGTAAGGACACTGTCTTCAAGGAAACTGAAGCTCATGACTTTAGAAACCCAAAGAGCTCTACTCACTTAGCTTTTTCATGCAGTCACGTAGCCTGGTCTCTAAGCTGAGGACCCGTTGGTGCAGTTCTTCATAGTCATAGGCACCGATTTCCTCCTGAATCCCAGTGAGTACTGAGGACAGATTCCGAATTTCTTCCTTGAACTGTGTGATGAGCTTGGCATCTGTTTTGTACTGCTCCAACACTGGGATCAGGGGCAGTAGCTCATCCATTTTCTCTTTCAGTTCCTGTGGGAAGAAGGAGAATGTTCCCAAGTCTTTCAAAGAGAAAAAGCTTCTACATTCACTGCATTATAACATGTAAAGGAGTTCATCGAAACAGCTTCAAAGTTCTTCATTGCTTTTTTTTATTGATGTCAGGTAAGCTTTGATAATGCAAGTGACCATGTGACAGTAATAAATCGCCTATCTCAGCTTATCACATAAACTTCCCTTTAAGAGATTACATGCTTCCATATAAAATAAACTGATCCTTATCATAGTTAGAAAAACTTTTTATCATAGAAATTATGATATTTTGTGTTATCTTATTTTTTGCTAGTTTTTATAAAAAGAACAATACATCATATAGTTTGGAAACAAAGACATGATCCCTTTCTCCAATGATGCATTGACTGGTTATAATTGGAAGAGATCAAGCATTCTACTAGAGGGTTGTGAAAATGAATTATCCCACTACTGACTATCCATCCCATGGAACTACATGCAAGAAAAACTGATTCTATGAGTGTTTTCCTTGAACTTAAGACTATTTCTAGCCTTGGCCTTGTACTCCTTTATCTTTTATTTGTGCTCAGGTATTCCTTATCCTTTGGAATATCCTTCTTAGGAAAACTTCAAGGATGGTAAGTTCAACTACATGATAAATCATACAAAACTTCCTAGAGGTTGAGATATACACTGCTGCTTCCATTTTGAATTTTAGTCACACTCCGTTTCCATTTGTCTTACAGCATAGGTAATTTAGGTGTCATTATAAAAGGCAGAGTTGCTTACCCACTCATGTAGTGAATTAACTCCTTATGGGAACAAGGTGCATAGCTTATATAACAGTTGGGCCAGCTACATAGAGCTGTTCAACATTTAAACACTGATTTTTTTGTCAAGGGACCAAGCAATGTATGTTGTCAATCAGTGTCCTCCATTCTTAATCATCACAAGACTAGGCCGCAACTTCATCTTTATCTACAACTTCTGCACTTGTCACCCTTAATCCTTTCCCTTTAACTTGGTAGCTGCTGTGGACAACAATAGTATTGCAGGAGCTTGATTCAACTGTGAATTTATTGCAGATGATGTCATTGGTTGAAGGAGTTCCAAACTTATGATCATTCGAGAATAAACCATAGGTGCTGTCAGAAGCATACTGTATAATTATTTAAGGAACTGAAAATTGCATTTTTAAATTACACTTAGAAAATGTTATTACTATAAATACATCCTAGAAGCAGAAGCTCCCATTGTTGCCCTGATTAATGGGCTTGTGTTTCTTGTTGGGGAATTTTTATGTACTTTATAAATCTGGAAATGTTTGAATTTATCTACATGTACACATTAAATTGGAGGATTAAAAAATCTTGTAATGGAAAAAATTCATGACTATTGACTATTGCAGTCAAAAGGCAGAACTGCAGAACATTTCTCATTTTAGGACTCATCTTGAAATAAGTCCATTAGTTTAAGCATCTTTTGGTACCCCTAAAGAAAATGCAATTGTTTCATTACAATTTTAATGATGAGAGCTCTGCTCATACCATTTGCTGCAAATTATAACAACCACCACAATGAAAGCTTTTCATTTTATAGGTGGGTGTATTCAAAGGAGCAATCTGATATCAAAGTTTTGGAAGTTTCTTTGATGAATTACAAAGGTTTTTAAAAATCTCTTCAAAAAAGTACTAGACATTGACTATTAATTTTGAAGCATTGGACATTTAGTAGAGGGCCAATGATCAGACTATCTTGCCAATAGTTGGTCTCACTGCGATGGGTAGCTTAGCTTTCCTCCTCAAAGATCATAGAAGCAAAAGTTAACAGTGTCATGAGATAAAAATTTCGCAACAAAAGAGAGTTTTGTAACAGAGTATTTTCAGCTTAAACTTGTTTTAGAATGTTCTACTTCTAACATATGTTATCTCGGTACCTAGAGGGAAATGTGATGCATGATGTAATTCAGTGAAGAAATGTGTTTCACTAGCAAGTGCTGAACCTCTAATTATTACTCTGATTTGGGTGCAGGAGGATGAGCTCATAAATGTGGGAATTTGGCCATGTGTACTGGTGTGCATGCTGTATGTTTGTATATGTATGTGGATGTATGAGTATAGGCATGTGTGGGTATGCATGTCTGTGTGAGTGTGTGTGTTTGTGTGTGTGTGTGTGTGCATACACATCATTATGGAGGCCAGACTGTGATGTCAAGTGTTTTTTTTTCAGTCATGCTTATGTTTTTTCCTAAGATAGGGGCTCTCTCAATGGGTAAAGAACTCACCTACTAGGTGCTGGGTGTGGGATAAGACCTGGGAAGAGGCAGGTCTCTCTCTCTTGGGGTTCCAGTTGGGTTTTGGAGAGCAGTGGAGACTGTCAGAGTGCTGACCCTGAGTTATTGGTTTTTCATGTGATTTCTCCCGAATAAAATAACATACAACATCCCTATCCCAAGTATGGTAATCTTCCTCTTCTATAATATGAACAGAAGATTCGCCTCACTTAGTCGATTACTTGCAATACAAGAATAAGGACTTGATTTCAGATCCCCAGAATACACAAAAAGTTGGCAGGGTTTGATGGATGCACACCTGTATCCTCTGCATTGAGAAGTAAAAACAGTCATACCTTGAAGCTCATTAGCTAGTTAATTTAACTTAGTAGGTGAGTTCTTTACCCATCTGCTAAGGATAAAAACAAGAAAACAATGCTTGCCTCACCGAATTGGTCTGATTATTGTAAATTAATAAATATATGAATGTGTTGTGAACTTTGTCATGAATATGTATGTTCAGAAAATGGTTATTGTTGTTTTATTACTGATATTTAGATTTGGATTTCAATATTTCTAACATATTATTTGATTATGTGGACTGTGAAAATCAAATCACAATCACATGGTACTTCCTGAAAATTCTATTTTCTTTTTGGCATCATGACTTTTGCTAAGCAAAAAAACCCTGTTCACTAGGACAAATTTTTTGGGTTCCTTTCACCTTTATTTCTTTGTTTCCTGCATCTACATCCCCAGTCATGCTGACCCAGGGAAGATTACAGGGTTCTTTGGTTCTACCATGTCCTTTGTGCTTTGTATCCTAACATGAAGCATGAGCTCCAGCTCTCTTGTTGCTCTTCTTCCTGGGATTGATTCTCTCTTCCACCTTAGTATTTACAACCTTCTACTTTGATAACAACACAGCTCAAGGTTGTAGATGAAGGTTTCTGTTCTGCCTGGTCCAGCAGCCATTTAGTCCCAAATAAACACAAGGAGGCTTATATGAATTATAAACTGGCCAATGGTTCAGACATCTTATTGGCTAGCTCTCTTGTAACTTTTAACACATTTCTATTAATCTATTTATCCCCACCTTGTCTTGGCTCACTGGTGAGCAAGCACTTCTTCCACCAGCAGCTATGTGCCCTGCTCTTAGCAGTTCTTCTTCCTCCTCCTCCTCTTCCTCCTCGTCCTCCTCCTCTCTCTGTCTCTCTCTGTCTCTCTCATTCACACTCTCTGTCTCTCTGTCTCTCTCTCTCTCTCTCTCTCTCTCTCTCTCTCTCTCTCTCTCTCTCTGTCTCTCTCTCTTTCTCTCTCTTGCTCTTCCCAGTATTTCCTAGCCTGGTAGCTCCACCTATAGTTACTTCCTGGCTATTGGCTAAAATAGCTTTATTCATCTACCAATAAAAGACAGCATTCAGAAGTACACCTCCTATCACCAGGTTCACATTGTTACTTGACCATCTTAAGCATTAAAAGTAGACACTGGGACTCTGTGAATTTCTAGATCATCTCTGGAATTTAGTATCTGGGGAAAGGAGGTCATATCCAGCATGGTTTTCTTAAACACTGTCAAATCTAATTCTTTAGTAGATCTCCAGTAGACAAATGGATAGCACTTCTGTTTGTGCTCTTACATGATGCTGAGGTATCATTTGAGACCAGTCTTTTTTCCTATAGGTTGCCTTTCATGGGGAGAGCTCAGGTTTCATTCCTCCAAGAAGTACCTGATCCTGCCTCACAGAGAATATATTTTAAATGCATTCTAGTTGACATGGATTCCGGTCTCAAATCTTATCTTCCTCTCTGTTTATTATTTCCCCATGCTTTTTTCCTGTTAATCTAGTTCAAAGTTTTATTTCCTATAATCTTTAAGTGCATTATGTCTTCTATGACTTGCTCTAACTCTTTTATTCCCCTTCTGGTCTAGTGTAAGTCTCTCTTCACCTTAAGTTCCATGATTCAACCACTTCAACTTTCTCTCTTGTCAATATCCTCAGCTTTTCTATCTTTTTTTCCTTCATTTGAAATTGATTGTGTATTGATGTCTGTTTTCTATACCTCTGTCCTTAATTTTCAGAGGCTACAAAAAAAATCTAAAACATGATGATTTCTACATCATTAAAATATACCTGGCAAGGATCCTGTTTGACTGTGACTAACTCGTTTGTAGCATGAATAATAAAAACCCAGAAACAAATACCAGAGCTAAAGCTGAAAATCAGAGAAGCAAAGCAGCAGCCTCTGGCTCTTATCTGTGACTCAGACCTAAGGGGCAATCCTGTCCTTTGATTGCATCTCCAGACTCAACTGCTCCTCCTACTACAATTTTCCTCAGACTTTGTAGACTACATCTCTCTTTTGTCTCCTCTTGCCTTAAATTTCTCTCTCTGTCCAGATATATCACTCCTGTCTCCACTTCCTTAGTGCTGGCATTAAATGTGTGAGCTCTGTTTCTCTTTTAGACTGATTCACTTTCATGTAGCCCAGGATGGTCTTGAACCAACAGAGATCCACCTACCTCTGACTCCTGAATGATAAGAATAAAGATTTGTACCACCACTGCCTGGCCTTTGTGACTGTGGCTAGCTTTGTACTCTAATCTTCAGGCAAGCTTTATTTGCTAAATCATAAACAAAATATCACCACACTGTATGTCACCACTATGCTCAAAATCCTTGACCACATGCTTGAATTCAAGTCATTCCTTTTATACTAGGGTTGAACCTCACTCTCTAATTGACAGAGGTAAAAAGATGTTACATGTGAACAACTTTAATGATTTTGAATCTCTGCACTAAGCTTTTTTTAAGACAGATAAATTATTTTAATGGAGGCTCAAGTGTCATTATCAGACCAAGACTTGTTTTTAAATAAGTGACTTGGTTGTATATAATTAATAAAGTCTGCACAGCATGCTCAACACATTTTTCCCATTTCTAGTTTCTAGACAATTGGTATTAAGACACATGTAATCTTTAAAAAGGAAATTGTTTGCATAAACTTAGAAAACTATCCTTTTAAAAATCCTTTTACCAATAGCATCATTTCTTTCTTTAATAATTTACATCTTCAAAAAATTTTAAAAATGGGGGACAGGGGAGGAGGAGAGGGAAAGGGAGCTGGGATTGACATATGAAACAAGCTTGTTGCTAATTTAAATAAATTAAAAAATTACATCCTCCACAGTTCTTATTTCAGCAGTGCATAAAATCATTTTAAAAAGCTTTGATGACTTAATTACTTATTTCATGGGGATATCCTTTTGTTCTAGATGGCAAATTTCTTGTAAATATACCCAGAATCTCCACATGCTTTGGGGTGGGGGCAGGCATTTTTTATAGCAGTTTTCTATGTGTTCCTAGATGCTAATGGTCACTTTTTATTGACAAGACAGCTGACTCCCCAGTGAATCCTTAACTTTGTATACATGGGCCAAAGCATAGTTATTTTTAGCTGAGTGACATGCTAACTGCCTATGGCGCTGTGTTGACAAGATTGGAGGACTCACACCTACCTGAAAATGCTTGGTCATTAGTGTCTTCCGATCATCTTCAATCTGCCGAAACTTGGCCTTCAACCCTTTCATTTGGGTTTCCATTTTTAGGACATACTGGAAATCTCTCTGAGTTCTCAAGTTTAAGACTTCTATAGACTGGGACATATTCTGTACCTATCAAACAAAGTCATTAGTTGTACATCATTTTCTGTTAATGGATGCATGCAATCTCTACTAATTTATCAAAATGTTATTAGCATGAAGAACAGAACTGCCAAATCTATAAATGCATGTCTGCCTGTCACACGTTAAAAAATATTACTTAAAGTAAACATTCAAAAAATAGAACCAAAGAAAATTATACCTATGCATGCTATAAAAACTGGACATGTATTATTAGAAATGACCCCAAAAGCAAGAAGATAGTAGATTAGAAAAAAAAAGAAAAATTGGTTTCATTCCAAGGCCTCATAAGGTTATAATACCCCAAGGTGATACACATTGAGATAAAATGTGTCTGTAAATGCTGTTTCTTACCTTTGAAATATCAGGGGTACTTAGATACAGTGTATGGTAGTAACAGATCCAACAGAGTTAGAGTTCAATCATTTTGAGGCCGAAGAATAAGGAGGAGAGTGAGATTGAGACTTTGTAAAGGATGAACAAAAGTAAATGAAATAAACCACTTGGCAGAGAGAAAGGCTGGTGCCCTCATTCTCCACCACTCAGTTCCACCATCCCAGCAGGTGCAGAGCATCCTCAGACTATCTGAAGCTTCTCTATTGTTTGTTATAATGCTAGCATACATCCCAGGGTGGAGCTTTAAAATGCTAAGGACAAACACAATGCATGAACTATTTTGCAGAGCTGAGTGCCACAGAATATGGGTAAGAAATCCTATACAGATGCAAATGAGCCCCAAATGCAAATGCTTCCAAAAAGCCCAGGATGTAGCACAAAAGCCGGTATCCTTTGTTCAGTGAGACACATAGCTACTGAACTCCCTCCCCCTCTTTGCTCCAAACCACTTCCTCCCTTGAAAACATATATTTTCCTAACAAACCATTTTCTGCCTCTGCTGTATCATGGTGTCTCTTATCAGTTCTTTATTCTAGAACACAGGAGCCTGGATTCCCTCCAGATGAGCTCATTGAACCTCGATATCAACTCATGTTGATTTTAATGCAGTTACATCGTGATGGTTTTTCTAAAGTACTCTGAAGGGTGACACTTGAGTTGGATCAGGACAAGTACCTTGTTGGAACACTTTCTAAATTGCATAGCTCGTGTTTGAGGGACTGGGGAAACGGCAACATCATAAACTTCCTTATAGATAGAAACACATGTAAAGCTGATGGCACTGACCCAGGTTCATTGAGTCCCAGGCTAATTAGAAATAGGAAATAGGTGACCTAGAAAGAATGCAGAGATGAAAGAAAGGCTGCTCTAATTTTTGTGTTAGCAAAAACCTGGAGCAATCTCTAATAGAGGGAAGCACTTGAATGAAGAATTGTATAAATATAAACTATTCTAAAGACTAAAATAGATCACTACACCTCTGGTATTTTAGTACTGTCTTCAGAGTAGCAGCTTTGTCTTCACTCGGAAGATTGTCAGAAATGCAGCATTCCAGAACTATCCCAAAGAGACTCAATTAGTCTGCATACTTATCAAGATTCCCATGTAATTCCTACAGCTGACTTTTAAAGCTTGACATGCATTGTTCATCTAGACAGGGATTCTACATGAGATAAATGTAATGTGATACAGAATTAAATCTGTTGTCACGAATAAAATACAGCCACACATGCAAAAGATAATATAATCTACTAAGAAAAAATTGTGAAGAAATGCACATGGAATAATTAGAAAAATAATTAAGTCTTAATATTAAATATCTAAAAGAGGAAATACCGTTGGACACATGTGTTATACAGTGTGTATATAACATTTTGGTTAAATGGTATTTTTGTTTTCATAGGTTAATACACCAAGAGATGAGCACAAAAAAAGTTGATAGGATTGCAATTATTTCTTTGTTTTAGGTTGTGAATATTTGTTTTCATTTATATCTAAGTGAATATGCACTACTTCATAATTAGTAAAAAGCCAGTTTAATTGATAAAATAGTGAACTATAAATGGATAATATTTTCATACATAGACTTTTCTACCAGGTAAAATTACTAAGATTAATGCACGCACCAGTTACCTATAAAGAGAGCCAAGTTGACAGATTCCTCAGACTGTCATTTTTAGAAAAGCCAGCGAGTTCTGGTGCCCTGGCTTGCCTCAGTTCTTTACCTCTTGTCAGACAAGTCAATTTTTCTTTATCCAAAGTTATCTCCTATGTCTATCCTGTCTGTTTCAAGCATGTCATAGTCTGTCTTACATTAAAAGTCATTTTGCAATGTGTGCTTGGACAATGGTAACAAAAGGCCATTGGTCTCTAATCCTCATCGGAGATTATATTTTACATCTTTTACTTTCAAGATGTTACCCAGAACCAGACACAGAATAAGTATTCAATAAATGTTTCCTGAGTAAAATCATCTTGGGTTTCAAATAGTATAATGGTAATTAGGATCTTAATATTTTAGGGAGAGTTTTTCTATATATAACTGTCAGACACAGCAGTATATGAATACAAATATTTCTTAATTTGAAATTATTATTATATTCAGAAAGCTTTATGTAGAATTTTTCAGTGTAGTATGAAATTAGAGACGGCATTGAACTCATAGAAACTTCATCATGGATGAAAGCATTGCTTTCAACATAATTTTCTAGCCTCACTTAGAGTTTAAGCATGAATAAAGAAAAGCATTAGCATTAAAGAGCCTGGCTACCTATTTAAATATGTAACAGTCTGTGAAGATACCTGTCATTAGCATGGCTGATATCCTCCCAAGAATTTTCTGTGCCTAGCCATATTCCACACAATTAGAAGATTATGGGCAAGAGGAAACATTTTGAATGGAGTTAGAATAATGTCTCTTATTTTATGTTCTATTCTGACATCGAATTTAAATTTTCAGCTTAATTTGTGTTATGGGAAAATGGAGGGGAGAACTTTTGATGAGACTTGGTTGTTGTGACTACATATATTATGAAACCTTGAATAATTATAGGACTACTTCTATGTGTAAATGGACAGGATTTGACTCTGAGTTGCATTTAGCTCTTCCTAGGAAGAGCTTCCTCCTATTGATGGAGACTCACTTGAGCAAGTTTCTTGATGATACTGGGCACTGACTCCATTGTTTGTCTCCAAGGAAGGAGACCTGTCAGTTCTGTTTCTTTTTTTCACTCTGCTACTCTCTGAGGCCACTCTGCAGTTAGGTTTTTACATTTGCTTGGCATTCTGTTATATTTTGAACACTAGATGGCACCTACAAGGTTTGATTTTCAGATTATGGCAATATTTTAAGGCGGTCTGGAAATTTAAGAGGTGGAGCCTAGCTGGAGGAAGTTACTAAGAGTATATCAACAAGGAGTGTGTCATGTCTACATTGTTTCAGTGTCCTCTCTCCCTGATTCCTGTGTGCTGATTCACTCTATCACATGTTTGCATCCATGACATTCTCCTTTGTCACAGCCAAGGAATAACAGGGCCAAATGACCATGAAATAACATTTCTAAAACCATGAGCCAAAATAAATTCTTCCTCTTACATGTTGTTTTTCTAGGTATTTGCACAACTATGAAAATCTACTAAACAACTTCTATAGTGTTTGGCAAGGTCATCTTCTCCCATCTCTGGTAATCTTCTTTTGAACTATTTAAACTGTTTTATTTTTATGAATAAAACACACGAGGTCTTTCTGAATGAACATGAAAGTATTTTTACTCCCAGTTACAACTGTTACTCGGACCCACTTTATAATAAAAAAAATCTATGACTCAATATGTTTGTCTAGCTTTGGTTCAACAAAAGATAACAGCAGTTCCTAGATTGTGGGATGTTTCAGGAAGTATTGTGTTACACTGCTTTTGAAATCTTCAAGGTGAAGTACTGTGTATAGTGTACTGAATTGATTTTATTGTTGAAGATGTTGCCCACATCCTAGTCCATAATTATGTTTTAGGAAATATTGACATAGGCAATGCAGGATACCTGTAGAAATATACAAATCCTTGTAGCTAACAAGTAAATTTTTAGGTCACCAATTTTATTTCTGGTGCATTAAGATACAAGTTATTAAATTAGCTGTATTTTTCAGTAACATACATATTCGTTAATATATCAGACAAAGATAGAATTCCTTAATTAAGTGTTGAGACCACTAGTGATATGGAGAATGATATAGAAACAATATAAAAACAACCTGATATAACTCTACAGCATGCTGACTAAGGCACATTGAAAGACTCATAAAGGAAAATATTTTTATGCAAATTTAGAAAATGAATCATGTCTTGTATAAGGATTGAATAGATATGAAAAAACCTTAAGAAGCTGACATCAAAAGACCAAATAGTCCAATTTTAAAAAATGGGGTACAGATTTAAATGCCCTCCCATGATGGTGAGAATGATGACTACCTTATATGTCATCCTAGAACTCTCATCCAGTGGCTGATAGAGGCAGAGGCAGACACCCACAGCTGTGAACCAAATTGAACTCCTGGAACCTAGTTGCAAAGAAGAGTGATGACCAAAGGAATCAAGATCGGGATAACAAACCCACAGAGGCAGCTGACCTAAACAAGGGGGAACACATAGACCCCAGACTGATGATTGAGGGAATAGCATGGAACTGATCCAGACACACTCCCCCCGAACCTGGGTAACAAAGAGGAGGCCTTGGAAATCTGGGAGACCTGGGAGAGTGGAGCAGTATTTATTCCAGGCATACAGAAGGACTTTGGGAACCCATGCCACGTGGAGGGATGCTCTTTCAGCCTGGACACATGAGGAAGAACCTGAGCCCTTCCTGGGATGATGTGACAGACCCTGAAAATCCCTCATGGAGGCCCTTGCCCTCCTTGGGGAGTCAAGGAGGGGTGGAGTGGGGGTGATGGGTTAGGAAGATTGGGGGTTGGGGAAGGAGGGGGAGGGAGAGAGAACTGAAAGTGACATGCGTAAAAAGTTAAATAAAAAATATATGTAAAAAATGGGGTGCAGATTTAAACAGAATTCTCAACAGAAGAATCTCAAATGTTCAAGATACACTTAAAGAAATGTTCAGCATCCTTAACCAACAGGGAAATGCATACCAAAATGACTCTGAGATTCCAACTTTTACTTGTTAGAATAGCTAAGATCAAAAACATAAACAACAGCTTATGCTGAAGAGGATGTGGAGCAGGGAGAACACCCCTCCACTGCTGGTGGGAATTCAATCTTGAATAACCACTTTGAAAATAAATATAGTGGTTTCTCAGAAAACTGGAAATCACCTACCTTAAGACCCAACTATACCACTTTGAGTCATGTACCCAAATGATACTCAATCGTACCAGAAGGACACTTGCTTAACTATGTTCATAGCAGTTCAACTGAAGAATTAATAAAGAAAACGTGGTTTATTTATACAATAGAGTGTTACTTAACTGTTAAATGACATCAGAAAATTTGAGGGCAAATGGACCAAACTAAAAAATAAATCATCCTGAGTGATGGAACCCAGACTTAGAAAGACACACCAAATCACATGTAAGTGAATATTATCTGTAAACTAAAGCATAACCATGCTATAGTCCTCAGACACAGAGAGGCTAGGTAACAAGGAGGGCATAAAGAGGCATACATAGATTTCCCTGGGAGGGGAATTAGAAGGCATCTCACGTGTGGACTGGAGGTGGGTCGAGATGAGAACTTGAGGTATTGGGTGGGGAGGGTGGATGGAAGAGGAGTGTACTGAAAGAGATGATAGAAAAGAGGGTCTTTTGAGAGTTGAGTAGAAACATAATGCAAGGGAAACTCCCAGGAATCTGCAAGGATGACCCTAGCTAAGACTTCTAGAAATGATGGTTGCATAGCCTGAACTGGCTATCTCTTCTGACCTGGGGACTTCTAGTGGAAGAAATGGGAGACTGCCCCAGCTACACAAACTTGACCTACAGTCTTTCCTGGCTATGGGGTGAAGAGGGGTAAGGGTTGCATGGAGATTGTGGGCATGGCCAACCATTGACTAATCTAACCTCAGACACATATCAGGAGAATAAACATACTCTGAATAATGCCTGGAATGTTAATATCCAGAGGCTAGATGGCCCAGAGACCTAGGATAGAACCAAACACTACCAGAGAAAAAAATGTCAACATAATGATGCCTAATAATATTTTGCTCTGCTAGCAGATAGGTAACAACCTCAGGTGTCATCAGAGAGCCTTCTGACAGAAACAGATGCTGAGACCCACAGCTAAGCATTGGCTGAGCTCAGGAAATACTGCTAAAGAGAGGAAGAATTGGATGAGCCTGTGAGTCAAGGACATCACAAGGGAACCCACAGAAACTACTTACCTGGCCTCATAGGAACTCATAGAGATGAGCCCACAGCCAGGGAGCCTGCATGGGATTGATTTAGGCCATCTAAATATATGTTTGACAGTTGTGTAGCTTGGTCTTCTTGTGGGACTCCTAGCAGTGGGAGAAGGTGCTGTCCCTAATGCTTTGGCTGACTTTTGGGAACTCATACTGGGTTGCCTCTCTCAGTATAATATAAGGGGAGGAACTTAGGCCTACATCAACTTGATGTGTCATGCTTTTTGAACACACAATAAGTAGTCTGCCCCTTTCTGAACAGAAACAGATGAAAAGTAGGTGTGAGGGGACAGAGAGTATATGGGAGAGGGGATAGGAGGAGATGAGGAAGGAGGAACAGCTGTTGAAATCTAAAATAAATTAATAACCTTGATTAATAAAAATAATTATAAAACAAAAACAGGTTACCTCTCCCCTGCCCCAATGCTCCGAGTCTGCTCAGGAGACCTTGCCTCATTCCCCTTCTCTAGGTTATCATGCATATCTCTCTTGAGAACTTCCCTGTTTCCCAGACTCACTGGCAATGAGATTGTAGGCTGGCACTAACCTGATTCATGTCTAAAATCCATATATGAGAGAGTACATACCATGTTTATATTTTTGTGACTGGGTTACCTCACTCAGGATGGTTTCTTCTAGTGCCATCCATTTGCCTGCAAATTTCAAGACTCCATTGCTTTTTATTTCCACTGAGTAGTACTCATTGTGTAAATGTACCACATTTTCTCTATTTACTCTTCAGTTGTGGAGCATCTAGGTTTCTTCCAGGATCTGGCTATTACAAATAGTGCTGCTATGAACATAGTGGAACAGACATCCTTGTTTTATGAATGGGCATCTTTTGGGTATATGCCTAAGAGTGGAATTGCTGGGTCTTGTGGTAGACTGAGTCCCATTTTCCTGAGGAATCTTCATACTGATTTCCAAAGTGGTTGTACAAGTTTGCACTCCTATCAGCAATGGAGGAGTGTTCCCCTTTCTCTAGATCCTCTCCATCACAAGCTGTTATTGTTGCTTTTGATTTTAGCTATTCTGACAGGAGTAAGATGATATCTCAGAGTTGTTTCGATTTGCATTTCCCTAATTGCTAAGGATGTTGAACACTATAAGTGTCTCTCAGCCATTTTAGACTCCTCTATTGAGAATTCTCTATTTAGTTCTATATCCTACTTTTTAATTGGATCCTTTGGTGTTTTGGAGACTTGCTTCTTGAGTTCTTTGCAAATTTTGGAGATCAGCCCTCTGTCAGATGTGGGGTTAGTGAATATCATTTCCTATTCTTTTTGTCTTGTTGACTGTGTCCTTTGCCTTACAGAAGCTTCTCAGTTTCAGGAAAAAAGGGGAGGGGCAGATGAAGGGAGAGGAAGACATGGGGGAGCAGGAAGATTGAGTCATGGGAAGAATAGATGAGAGTTACCATAATAGAGGGTGTCATTTTAGGTTTGAGAAGAGAGCTGACACTAGTGAGATTTCTACAGTTCTACAAGGATGACACCAACTGGCAACTAAGCAATAGTGGAGAGACTACCTTATATGCCATCTTAGAACCTTCATCCAATGACTGATGGAAGCATAGGCAGATACCAACAGCTAAACACTGAACTCTTGGACCCCAGTGACAGAGAGGGAGGAGTGATGAGCAAAGGGGTCAAGACTGTGAGGGTGAAACCCACAAAGACCTGACAGAGGGGAGCTCTTGGACCCTAGATTGATGACTGAGAGACCAGCAGGGGGCTGATCCAGACCCCTGAATGTGGGTGTCAGTCAGGAGGCCACAGCAATCTCTGGGGCCTTGGCTGGTAGATCACTGTTATGGCATGTGGATGAACTATGGGAGTCCATTCCACATGGAGGGATGCTCTCTCAGCCTGGGCACATGAAGGAGGGCCTAGGTCCTGTCCTGGATGAAATGACAGACTCTGGAGATCCCCAAGGAGGGCCTCACCCTCCCTTGGGAATGGTGTGGGGATTGGGGGGGCTGGGTAGGCTGATGGGAGGACATTTGTTTGTATTAGCAAGCTAGATGCTTTCATTCTCCCGGATATCTCAATTTCATCCGTGCAACTTCTTAGTGTCTGGAGTGTGTAATCATGAAAATGATGGGAGATTGAGTAAAGTGGAGAGCATGGTGTCCTCTACAACACATACTTTTGAATTCATCTCTTTCTCTCCATGATACTTAAAATTCAAACATGTTGTTATCCTTGCATCACTCTGACCATCCCAGCTGTCCTACTGTATTCAGAACCCTGCACAGTGCCAGTCTGAATGGGGATCATTGAAAGAACCATTCACTGGTTTGCCCCCTCCTAAATACACATAGACAACCTTTCATGAGCTGACTCCCATCTGTAAAAGGGAACAAATCAAGGGCATTCTGCGTTTGATTGTTGGGGATCCAGTGTAAGTAAATTGTGGAGAGAATGCCATTGAATGGAACTGAAGAGCTTTATGTTCAAAGGAATGATTTAGAAAATGATGATAAATACTTGGAATTATTCATTATCAGTCCAGATAGCTTGCATACTTCATGTCATTATTTTAACTTCCTAGCAAGATGGTTAATAAGAGTCTAGTGTATGAGCTCAAAGAGCTATTTGTGATCCATAGAGCTGAGACTGTATTGATAGCATTGGAAGAATACTCCCTGCTTCCTGAAATTTTGAAAGAGAAACTGGCTGGATGGTAACACGTATGGTAGAAAATCTGTCTCAAGAAAGAACAATTACGAAAGGTAAAAAATGTTTCATAAATGAAATAATATAGCCAGAATCTTGAAATACCTCTTTCAAAGAACAGGAAATGCTTGTGTTTAAAGAGAGCTAAAACCAGGGCAACCACATGATATTCACCAGTCATAGTCCTTTCTAAAAATTATAAATTTCAATAAAAATATGGTCAGGGAACACCAGTCACATACCTTTTCCAGAAGCTGGCGAAGCTGTCTGCTTTTGGCATCTCGGGAACACAGGTTTTGTTCTGGAGCCACCACTGTACAAATGCATCGGCCATCAGGGTCCTGTGCTGAGCTGTACACTTGCCACCCTTCTTTAGGGCTAATCTGAGTCTGGGGGAAACCAACAGCAAACACAAAACAGATTTTCACTATAGAGTAAGAAGACAGATATGTAGTAGCATAAGGAAAGATTTAATTATCTTTTAAAATAGGTTTTGTGTCTTTGTGGGGATTGTTGTTGTTATGTAAGTGTACATGTATACATGTGTGCAGCTCTGACAAGCCCTTGTCTACTCATGATCTTTACACCTTGTGTTGGAGACAGCTTCTCTCACTGGTCTGGAATGTCTCAAGCTAGCTGGCCAGCAATCCACAGTGATCTGTTAATCTCAGCTTCTCCCACAACTGCTTTCTATGTTAGTGCTGAACAAATTCAGGACATCATTTCTGTATAGCAATCAGTTTCCCTCCTCAGCTACTTCCCTAGCCTTTGATTCTTTGAAACTGGAAGAGAAAACATGAGCAATTGACACTGGTAGCAGCTTTATTCTGTTTTACCTTCTTTGCTAATGTCACAATGGAGTTTGTGGTCTCAGATACTTCACTCTTTACTGTCTTTGTAACTCTATCACCATATTTTGTGCAATTTTAGATTTGAACTCTATGTTTAGGCATTTCTACTAACCACTTCCTTGGATCTTACTGGTCTTTCTACATTAGACATGCTATTTTTTCCTTCACAAGAGGAATGTAATTAATAGTATATACTATAATGCATGTTTGATATTCTGAAATAAAGCCCAAAATGGTCTTCTGAAAAAAATCGACATCATACTCCCTTAATCACTGGACATCTGGCTTAAAAAGTAGTATTGTTGCAATCTAATCTGCTTCCTATTTACACTGATAGTTTTACCTATTGCACTGCCCAACAGTAGCCTTCACTCCAGTGAAGTTGGTTTATGTGTGTCTGATCTATTCCTCAGACATTGAACTGCATCATATAGTATTACTATTCATATGATAATTAGCTTATTCTGTATAGAAATGTGAATATTTCCTATTTTTCTTTATAAATCTATTCTATCAAGTGCAAAGAATGTGACAGTTTTGCCTCACTATTGTTTTCTTTTTTCAAGACAAACTTCTGTAGATTAAAATAATGTATATAGACAGAGCACCTCTTCATTCTATGGCACTGGAAATGTCTTTCCTTGACTAGTTCTGAAGCTGCATGAACTGGAAGTGTCTCTGTTAACAAACTTGAATGCTCCAGTTTTCCACCTTTATTTCTTTCTATTGTGTGAGAAGTATTGAGAATGGCTTGGTGTGCCTTCTAGGCACCGTTGTCCCACTTGCTGAGAGCATTAACGATTCTTCTCTAATTGTGCTTTGCTTTGAGGATTTCCTTAACTGAAGATTGATTCCTTGGTGAATTCCACTGGGCAGCTAGCCCCACTGACTTACCGATACAATCATAAAAAGAACCAACAAAGAAGCAGAAAGTGCTGCTACTGCTATTCTTTTCACAGAATGGGGTGTTGATTCCAATTCTAATGTCCTACGTTTCTTACCATGGGCCATTGACATCTCCTACAAAAAGTCACACACTGGGAATGTTGTGAACATATATTGGGAGAGACATAAACTATAAACTCAAGAAGCTGATAAAGATACAACAAGCCTTGTCTTTGCTTTTTGATGAAAGGAGTATACCACCAGACCTATCCTTTAGTCTCTTCATAGTTAACAGATTTTTTTTATTTTTATTTTTAAATTTAAATTAGAAACAAGGTTGCTTCAGATGTCAATTCCAGATCCCTTTCCCTTCCCTCCTCCCATGCCCTCCCACCAACCCCTCTAATATCCCCTCATTTCCCCAGGGAGGGTGAGGCCCTTGGGAGTGTCCATAGTCTGTCATTTCATCCAGGGCAGGGCCTAGACCCTCCCCCAATAGTCCAGGGTGAGAGTGCAATCTCTCATTGTTGTATAGACACCCAAAGTCCATTTGTGTGCCCTGGATAAATACTGATCTACTACCAAAGGCCCCATAGACTCTCTAGGCCTCCTCACTGACACCCACATTCAGGGGATCTTGATCAGTCCCATGCTGGATTCCCAGCCAACAGTCTAGGATTCAAGAGCTAACCCTTGTCAGGTCAGCTGTTTCTGGAGGTTAAACCAGCTCAGTCTTAATAAACCAGCCCAATCTTAACCCCTTTGGTCATCAGCCCTCCCTCTCTGTCACTGGATTCCTTGAGTTCAGCTCAGTGTTTAGCTGTGGGAGTCTGCCTCTGCTTCCAACAGCCATTGAATGAAGGTTCTGTTTCCCAGACTCTCTGGCCATGGGATTGTAGGCTGGCACTCCCCAGATCTATGTCTAAAATCCATATATGAGAGAGTACATGCCATGTTTCTCTTTTTGTGGCTGGGTAACATCACTCAGGATGATTTCTTCTTTTGCCATCCATTTGCCTGCAAATTTCAGTATTTCTTTGTTTTTTTCTGCTGTTCCCCTTTCACCACAACTGCTCCAGAATAAGCTGTTATTGTTGCTTTTGATTTTAGCTATTCTGACAGGAGTAAGATGGTATCTCAGAATTGTTTTGATTTACATTTCCCAGATGGCTAAGGATGTTGAGCACTTTAATAGCACTGAATACTCCTCCAAAGGTTCTGAGTTCAATTCCCAGCAACCACATGGCGGCTCACAACTATCCATATGTAATTAGATCTGGCACCCTCTTCTGGTTAAAAGCATACATGCAGGCAAAATACTGTATATATAATAAATAAATCTTTGCCGGGCGTTGGTGGCACATGCTTTTAATCCCAGCACTTAGGAGGCAGAGGCAGGCGGATCTCTGTGAGTTCAAGGCGAGCCTAGTCTACAGAGCTAACTCATTTTTTAAAAAGGCAATTCCTATGCTATTTTTTATTCCTGAGTGGACTGACTTCTTAATATAACGTCTCTTTCTATACATCACTAATCTTTTCAAGCTCTTACTCCTGCATATCCAGTTAAAGAAAAAGATTTCTTAGGATCGTATATTACTAAAATTAAGTAATATATCAACAAGAAGTTGTTTTAGTTTTAAGAGATTATCTACAGAATGAAAATAGAAATGACTTAACAAAGTAGGTTTTAAGATTTAATTAATTGAAGGCTTAAATTGAGCAGTGATTTGGGGTTAATGTCTCTGGACAGAGCCCCTTTGGGCTTCTTTTAACATTGAACACAAATCTCAAATATTCCAGAAAATGAAAGCTTGGCTCTAGAATAAATGCAGCTTTGGACAAAAGAGCAGGACCACCCATTTGTATTAAAATATTTTAACAGCAGTGCAAATTCTGATTATTAAGGTGGTCAGCATTCATATTGATGTGTCCTTGCTTAGTTCTCTGTAGCAACAGTGCACCTTGTCACATAGGGTCATGGGGTAGTCATTGTCTGTTATTAACACAATTGGAAAGGTAAACAGGGTTTGATGTTTATTCAGTGTTGTCCCCTGCAAACCTCTATTTAATATCAGTAAAGTCTCCAGCCATATTTATTCCTTCAGTTGTCTTCTTCTAAAAATTATTGAAGAGTAATGCCTAGACTGCAGCAATTTTGAATGATTTAAAGTATATACTCTCACCTTTGTGTTAAGAAAACCAAAGTGCCCAGCAGTTCTATAGGTTTTTATACAAACCCCTGTTTTGGGGACAATGACAAATGGTGAATCTTTGTAAGTATTTCTAGCACTCTCTTTTAGGGTTCCAAGCTAGCATTGAAAAGACAACCAAAATAAAACCAACTGTGATCTCAGGTGGAAGGACACATTTAGATATTTTTGGATAGCCAGGACAAAGACATGCTCCAATTCTGACTTACAATAACAATTATTCAAATGTCAGTGAGACTCATGAACCAGGAAGATCAAGCTTTTGTGGATCTCTAACTGCTGTGGGGAGGATTGTGCAACTTACTTTCCCATAATATCTTGATATTTTTGAATTCTAGGTGATATCATTCTGACCAGTCTTGCAACAAAAATGAATTTTCTCACAGTCCCTCAGAGAATAATCAGGAGAATTTGGGTTTGACCATGTATAGTCTGGTCACAAAACATGAAGTTTAAACACTGTATTGAAATATCAATGATCTCAGTCTACCCTAATACATGATGCTGTTCACCCAATACATCATTTATTTGTATTATAGACTAGAACAACAGTTGGACCTGTAAATTGATTACAGTTGATTATGAATGGCCCAAAGCATCCACACAGAGCATCCATTACTGATGCAGTCTTCTTTGAACTCTTTGTGTTAATTAGAAGAACTAAATGAACTATTTAGCAGTTTTTAATATTACAACACTCATGAAATATTTAAGGGATACACTAAATAAGAGAATTAAAACAATCATTTAACAGTTGTATCTGGTTGAAAGTTCTTTGATTATAATTTAATTGCGATCTATGCTTTATAAACATAAAGATACACCTGAGAATTCTCCTGAACCACAGGGATTTGTGTCAGGAAATGTGTATCCCAAGAAACAAAAAAAGAAGATCAATATACATTTAATTTCAATGGAATTTCCTTGTAACATCCCTTCTCTTGTAATTGGGTTCATTTCTTTAGAACCACTTGCCCTTAGAAACAGACTGTGTTTGATGTTACCTACAAGGAAGCCACAATATAAAGAACCTAAAGCAATTTTCTTTCAAGCCACCGTTAGTACCAACATTTACATGTTTTCTACAACTTTCAACCCAGAATTCTCTGTGTTCATCTGCTATAGGTAGATCAGCTATGCCCATTTACTGACAGTCCTATGCCCCCAACACCTGCAGCTGATTCTCAGCATATCACAGGCATTACCTTGTGTGGAAACATGCTCACTGTCACTTCAAAGAAGCAGCAAGGTAAGGGCTAGGCAAACGCATTACTCCAACTGGAGGAACTGCAGTCATTTCCTAGGGCCAAAACAGCATAGAAGGCCAAGGGAAGGATCCCACCGCTTTGAATAGAAGTAAGTTGGCAGGTTGATCATTATTAGATTTTGCATTTCATATTCAATTTGTAGGTACTTCACAAAAATCAAGACAATGCAGAAAGA